TGGTGCAACCATCACAAAGCAAGAGACCCAAGAACTAGAAAGGCGAGGCTCACCACCCATTTATCCCTCCGCCTTTCAATTAGCCCCACATGTGGTTATCGGCCAGGTTGGCACAATTAACTAACTCAATGTCCTTCTCCAGGAACTGCTCTCTCCTGACAATATGTCCAAAATATTTGAGACAAAGTCTCAACATCCTAGCTTCTAAGGAGCATTCTGGCTCTAAGTCTTCCACATTGGATTTGTTTGTTCTTTTGGTAGCCTGTCGTACTTTCAATATTCTGTACCAGCACCATAATTCAAACGCATCAATTCTTCCTCTGTCTTCTTTATTCAGTGTCCACCTTTCATATTCATAGGGGGGAAGGGGGATGAAAATACCATGGCTTGGGTCAGGAGCACCTTAGTCCTCAAAGTAACATCCTTGCATTTCAACACTTTTATGCAATTCAAAGTGTCATTTGATCTGACTGCTGCTTCCATGAGCATTGAATGTGGATCCAAGCAAGACAAAAGCCTTGACAACTTCAAGCTTTTCTCCATTTTCCATCATGTGACTTATTGGTGTTCTCTACATTGAGTTGTAACCCATACTGAAGGCTCCAATCCTTGCTCTTCTTCAGCACGTGCTCCAAGTCCTTCTCACTTTCAGCAAGCAAAGGTGTGTCATCTGCATATCGTAAGTTGTCAATAAGCTCTCCTCCGATGCTGGTGCCACATTCTTCTTCATGTGGTCCAGCTTCTCTGATTATTTGTTCGGCATACAGATTGAACAAGTATGGCAAGAGGATATAATCCTGATGGACCATTCCTGCTTCTTAAAACCATACATTATTCCCTTATTCTGTTTGCACAACTGCCTCTTGATACCTGCACAAGTTCAGTATGAGCGCAGTGAATTATTTTGGAATTCCCATTCTTCTCAAGGCTATTCATAGTTTGTTCTGGTCCACACAGTCAAATGCCTTTGCATGGTCAATAAAATACAAGTAAACATCTTTCTGGTATCATATGCTCTCAGCCAAGATCCATCAGACATCAGAAATGATATCAATAGAAACAATGGAACCAATAATACCTGTGTTGATTCCCTGACAACCCTGTAACTA